AACAACAACTATTGAAGAATGAAAAATCAACATTAGCAACATTGTTGTTGTTTACTCAATCAAAAAAACAAAATAAATCAATTGATATGAGAAAGTGCAAAAAAAAGAGGAGAAAAGCTAATAAAAAAAGCGTGAATGTTTCAAAGGGAAAAAATACAAATACAACAGCATGTAAACAAACTATCATTTAAACAAATTTAAACATTAGGCAGATAATTTTAAGTGTAAATAGAATGTTTTGGGTTATTTTGCTCATTAAGAAAACTTAAATAATTAAAGTGCTAAATATTAAATAAACTAAAACAAATAAATAAATTATTTGACAAAATACCTTTGGTAGGAAAAATAAACACATTTTGACTGTTTAAACCAAATTCTTAAATAAATACGGCCTAAATTAGAAAATATTTCGTTAAGTAGAGGTAATAAATTATTATTTTTTTTAACTTATTGGCTGACGACAACAACAGCAACAAAATCTCTTCTTCTAAATGACATATTTGTGTGTTATAAAGCGATTATTATTATTTGTGCCGAATTTCTAAATTTAAACGCGAAAACACACAAGCAACAATCTTATCTCTTTTTTTATTTTTGCCACTTAAACACACACACAGACATCACGTGAAAATTCACTTTTTTCATATTTCGTAAAGAAATATTTTTGTGCAAATATTTTTCTTCACTTTTTTTTTAGTATTTTTTCTATTTTTCTCTATTTTATTATGGTATGTTGAAATTTGAAATTTTTTTTCAAATATTTTTTTTTTTTTTGAAATTCCCAAATATTTCGTTGATTTTTTAATTTTTTTTTAATAATTGTGAAATATTTGTTTACCGTAAAATTGTTTTATTAAATAAAAAACGCGTGCACTTTTACGCTTCAAATGCGCTTTAAAGACTAATGTTTATGTATCAAATACAAAAAAGAAAACAAATTGAAGAGGACAACCAACAACAAAATTCAACAAACATTTTTCACACATACACTTACATAGATTCTCTTCATTTATTTATTTACTCACTCAACTCTTTAAAAAAGACCAGAGATCATTTCCATTGCTGTTAATGGAATGGAAATAACAAGAGAACTGAGTGTGGCCAGATTGAAATGGACATGGCCAAAACGATTTGGGAAAAAACTTTAATATTGTTGTAGAACGTTACTGAGATTAGATTTAGATCACTTATAGAACAATTCTAGATCGGTTTTTTAAGGCAGCTTTAATTCAGTTTTAGATTCTTGGTCTTGGTTTATAGTACAATTCTAGTTCAGTTCTAATTCAGTTCTAGTTCAGTTCTAGTTCAGTTCTAGATCAGTTCTAGTTCAGTTCTAGTTCAGTTCTAGTTCAGTTCTAGTTCAGTTCTAGTTCAGTTCTAGTTCAGTTCTAGTTCAGTTCTAGTTCAGTTCTAGTTCAGTTCTAGTTCAATTCTAGTTCAGTTCTAGTTCAGTTCTAGTTCAGTTCTAGTTCAGTTCTAGTTCAGTTCTAGTTCAGTTCTAGTTCAGTTTAGTAGTCAGTTCTAGTTCAGTTCTAGTTCAGTTTTAGTTCAGTTCTAGTTCAGTTCTAGTTCAGTTCTAGTTCAGTTCAAGTTCAGTTCTAGTTCAGTTCTAGTTCAGTTTAAGTTCAGTTCTAGTTCAGTTCTAGTTCAGTTCTAGTTCAGTTCTAGTTCAGTTCTAGTTCAGTTCTAGTTCAGTTCTAGTTCAGTTCTAGTTCAGTTCTAGTTCAGTTCTAGTTCAGTTCTAGTTCAGTTCTAGTTCAGTTCTAGTTCAGTTCTAGTTCAGTTCTAGTTCAGTTCTAGTTCAGTTCTAGTTCAGTTCTAGTTCAGTTCTAGTTCAGTTCTAGTTCAGTTCTAGTTCAGTTCTAGTTCAGTTCTAGTTCAGTTCTAGTTCAGTTCAGTCAGTTCTAGTTCAGTTCTAGTTCAGTTCTAGTTCAGTTCTAGTTCAGTTCTAGTTCAGTTCTAGTTCAGTTCTAGTTCAGTTCTAGTTCAGTTCTAGTTCAGTTCTAGTTCAGTTCTAGTTCAGTTCTAGTTCAGTTCTAGTTCAGTTCTAGTTCAGTTCTAGTTCAGTTCTAGTTCAGTTCTAGTTGTCAGTTCTAGTTCAGTTTCTAGTTCAGTTCTAGTTCAGTTTCCAGTTTCAGTTCTAGTTCAGTTCTAGTTCATGTTCTAGTTCAGTTCTAGTTCTAGCTTCTAGTTCTAGTTCTAGTTCCAGTTTTAGTTCAGTTTCTAGTTCAAGTTCTAGTTCAGGTTCTAGTTCAAGTTCTAGTTCAGTTCTAGTTCAGTTTTGTTCAGTTTAGTTCCATTCTTAGCTTCAGTTCTAGTTTCCAGTTCTAGTTCAGTTCTAGTTCAGTTCTAGTTCCAGTTTAGCTTCAGTTTCTAGTTCAGTTCTAGTTCAGTTCTAGTTCAGTTTCTAGTTTCAGTTCTAGTTTCAGTTCTAGTTTCAGTTCTAGTTCAGTTCGTTAGTTCTGTTCCAGTTTTCTAGTTTCCGTTTCTTAGTTTCAGTTCTAGTCAGTTCTCGTAGTTCAGTTCTAGTTCAGTTCTTAGTTCAGTTTCTAGTTCAGTTCTAGTTCAGTTCTTAGTTCAGTTCTAGTTCAGTTTCTAGCTTCAGTTTTCTAGTTCAGTTCTAGTTCAGTTCTAGTCAGTTTAGTTCAGTTCATAGTTCAGTTCATAGTTCAGATTCTAGTTCAGTTCTAGTTCAGTTCTAGTTCAGTTCTAGTTCAGTTCTAGTTCAAGTTCAGTTCTAGTTCAGTTCTAGTTCAGTTCTAGTTCAGTTCTAGTTCAGGTTCTAGTTCAGTCTAGTTCAGTTCTAGTTCAGTTCTAGTTCAGGTTCTAGTTCAGTTCTAGTTCAGTTTTCTAGTTCAGTTCTAGTTCAGTTCTAGTTCAGTTCTAGTTCAGTTCTAGTTCAGTTCTAGTTCAGTTCTAGTTCAGTTCTAGTTCAGTTCTAGTTCAGTTCTAGTTCAGTTCTAGTTCAGTTCTAGTTCGTTTCTAGTTCAGTTCTAGTTCAGTTCTAGGTTCAGGTTCTAGTTCAGTTCTAGTTCAGTTCTATTTCAGTTCTAGTTCAGTTCAGTTCTAGTTCAGTTTCTAGTTCAAGTTCATAGTTCAGTTCTAGTTCAGTCTAGTTCAGTTCTAGTTCAGTTCTAGTTCAGTTCTAGTTCAGTTCTAGTTCAGTTCTAGTCCAAGGTTCTAGCTATCAGTTCTAGTTCAGTTCTCGTTCAGTCTAGTTCAGTTCTAGTTCAGTTCTAGTCAGTTCTAGTTCAGTTCTAGTTCAGTTCTAGTTCAGTTCTAGTTTAGTTCTAGTTCAGTTCTAGTTCAGTTCTAGTTCAGTTCTAGTCATTCTAGTTCAGTTCTAGTTCAGTTCTAGTTCAGTTCTAGTTCAGTTCTAGTTCAGTTCTAGTTCAGTTCTAGTTCAGTTCTAGTTCAGTTCTAGTTCAGTTCTAGTTCAGTTCTAGTTTAGTTCTAGTTCAGTTCTAGTTCAGTTCTAGTTCAGTTCTAGTTCAGTTCTAGTTCAGTTCTAGCTAGTGTCATTTCAAAAATATGTTAAAATCTCTTTTGAAATTAAAAAAATTTCCCTGTGCTTAAAAATTTATCTGGCATCACTATAAAACAACCGCAAAAAACACAGTTTTTCTTTATCTTCAGTACAACCAAAGTACATTTGCACGAAATGTATGTTTATACGTATGTACATATGTATGTGAAAATGTATGCAATATGCAAAAATACCAATTTACACTCTTTTTTGAGAGGGGTGTGGGGAAGCAGCAATTAAATAAAAGAGAACCAAAAAAGTGAATGTTTTTTTTTTATTTGAGTTCAAACACACACGCACACCTTTTGCTGTAATACGAAAAATAGTGTGTGGGCGCCTTTAAGCAAGGGGGAGTAAAGAAGGAGTCGTAATCCCCAACTACTGCTTTATAAAATGTAAACAAGTGTGCTTTTTGCACACTCTCTCTCGCGCTCTTGTTGATTTGTTTTGTTTATGTTTTCCGAAAATAAAAAGAGTTAAGACACATGCGCAATAACTTGAAGTAAATATGCAACCAGCTGTTTCTTGTGTTTGTTATTAATCATACGTCTGTATGTTTTGTGGATATAGTTATGTTTATATTTTTATATGCAGCAGGTTTGGCAGGTAAATATGTCGGCATATTGATATGCAAGATTGTGTGTGTGTTTGTTTTTTATGCATTAGCGTGTGTTGTTTAAAGAGAGAGAGAGAGTTAAGGCTATAATGACTTGTTTTTTTTTTTTTTTTTTTGTTTTTGTTGGGTTACTTGCAAAACAATTTCCTTTTTCCGCTAACAGACAAAAAGTGCAGTGTATTATAGTTGTACATCGTACCTTTATATAAATTTGCATAAATAAATAAATTCTATCTATGGTGTAGGGTTTTGAAGGAAATCTGTGGATAAGGGGAATATAAATATAAAGGTAGAATTTATTAGGGTTTTTTATGTGAAGCAATAATTTTTCTGTTTTGGGGGATTAGAGGAAAAAGAGTTTTTTTGTGAAAATTTTGGTTTATAGTCAAATGTTCTACTTTCTATTGAGATTTGTTCTACGTCAGTTCGAAATCAGCTTTATATCAATTCTACCGTAGTTCGAGTTCAGTTCTAGTTCAATTCTAGAACAGTTCGAGATCATCTCTAGTCCAGTTATAGATCAGTTCTAGATCAGTTTGATAGTTTGAAAGATCAGATCTACATCAGTTTTGGATCAATATAGATCTATGAGAGACTAGTACTAGATTAGTTTTATATATGTATATTGTAGATCAGTTTTAGATCAATTATATACAAATTCTAAATATATTGCACATCTATTGTTAATCCTAGAACTGATTATCAGTACTGAATCAGTCTATTCAAACTAAATCTATATGAAAATCAGTTCACTCACACTTTCATCAGTTTTATACTTTTTGTAGATATGTTCTAGATCATTTAAAGATCAGTTCCTTTCTAAAACAGTTCTAAACCATTTTAACTATAAATTCTTACCTTTATTTGCATAATTTCCTTGTCCAAACAAGAGTCTTTAAAGCCTAAAAATTGAGAAAAAGAAAAAAGTAATTAACACAATTTGTTAAAAAAAAATATAAATTTTGTTAACATTTACAAATTAAAATAACAAAAAAACAACAATTTCCTTTACAAATTCAAAGGTCTTTTCCCTAAACCACGTTTTTTCGCCCTCTGTTTAAAAACTATGTTTTACTCTTTATTTAACTATTCCTCGAGCAGAGAGTAAATCTAGATTTTTTATCTATTTCCCTCCCCCTCACTTTTCTGTAGTTTTGTGGTTGTTTTTACAGCAACAGTGGAAACAACAACAATGCTTCAATTTGTTTTCAACAACATCCCTTCCTTTAAATAGCCCAGAGTGTGAGTAAATGTTTGTTTTTTTATTTTTGTTGTTGCTTTCTATGCCTCCATTATAAAAAAAGAGAAAACTCTTGACAATGTTTTCGTTTTTTTTTTTTTGTTTGTTTGAGGAAAAGCCGGTGTATGTGTATGCGGCATTTATTTAACATGAATGAGTTTTTTCTTTTTTTGTTTTGTAAACTTTTGCGCCAGAAGAAGAGCATAAAAAACAACAGCAATTACAAAAACAACAATAAACACCTCAGCGGAAATTCACTTGTAAAGTTGGCAATTTTTTTCTTTTGTTTTGTTGCTTTTTTTTGGAGGGTGGGGGGCTTGCATATGGATGAGTTGTTTGAATATGAATGTTGGCATAACATTGTTAACTGTGCTGCTCCTACTTTTTTCATTGTTTTTGTTGAGAAGCCTTCAGAGTGTATGGTGTTGACTGGTACTAAAGGTAGTAATGTGTTTTTGTTGTTATTATGTTTTCTAGCGTGTTGGGAAACATTTTTGTTGAAAAAGAGTTTTTTGGTCTAAAGCGAAAAAAAAATTTCTGAAATTTTAACAAATATGGCAGAGACAATACGTTTTAAAGCAATAAACACAGAGATTCTTAAATATGTTTAACTAAAGCATAAAATTAACTTAAAATTATTCTAATCATAAAAGCTATTTAAGAAAATTTTTAAATTTTTAGCAAAAGATAACAAAGTTTCACATTTTTTTAAGAAAAAAGTTTGTGAACTTTATGTGTAAAGAAAGCAAATATTTTTCGTTTTTAAAATTTGAAATGTTGTAGTTTTTCTTTTTTGTTGCCGGTAGCCCTGATTATGACATCGGTGTTGCTGACATCAACATTTAAAAAAAAAAGTTAAAACAAATATTGCATGCCATTTCTTATTCAAAAATTCATCAAAATCTCCATAAGAAAAAAAATCTCTTTGTTTTGGCTAACAATACAATAAAAACAAACAAAACAGAAAATCTGCTATGGCTAGTTATTTTGTAAACAAAACAAAAAAAATTTAACAAATAGTCTATAGTCTAGTCTATAGTCTAGTCTATAGTCTAGTCTATAGTCTAGTCTATAGTCTAGTCTATAGTCTAGTCTATAGTCTAGTCTATAGTCTAGTCTATAGTCTAGTCTATAGTCTAGTCTATAGTCTAGTCTATAGTCTATTCTATAGTTCTAGTCTATAGTCTAGTCTATAGTCTAGTCTATAGTCTAGTCTATAGTCTAGTCTATAGTCTAGTCTATAGTCAAATCTGTAGTCTAGTCTATAGTCTAGTCTATAGTCTAGTCTATAGTCCAGTCTATAGTCTAGTCTATAGTCTAGTCTATAGTCTAGTCTATAGTCTAGTCTATAGTCTAGTCTATAGTCTAGTCTATAGTCTAGTCTAAGTCTAGTCTATAGTCTAGTCATAGTCTAGTCTATAGTCTAGTCTTAGTCTAGTCTATAGTCTAGTCTATAGTCTCTAGTCTAGTCTATAGTCTAGTCTATAGTCTAGTCAATAGTCTAGTCTATAGTCTAGTCTATAGTCTAGTCTAGTCTATAGTCTAGTATATAGTCTAGTATATAGTCTATAGTCTAGTCTATAGTCTAGTCTATAGTCTAGTCTATAGTCTAGTCTATAGTCTAGTCTATAGTCTAGTCTATAGTCTAGTCTATAATCTAGTCTATAGTCTAGTCTAGTCTATAGTCTAGTCTATAGTCTAGTCTATAGTCTAGTCTATAGTCTAGTCTATAGTCTAGTCTATAGTCTAGTCTATAGTCTAGTCTATAGTCTAGTCTATAGTCTAGTCTATAGTCTAGTCTATAGTCTAGTCTATAGTCTAGTCTATAGTCTAGTCTATAGTCTAGTCTATAGTCTAGTCTAGTCTAGTCTAGTCTATCTAGTCTAGTCTATAGTCTAGTCTATAGTCTAGTCTATAGTCTAGTCTATAGTCTAGTCTATAGTCTAGTCTATAGTCTAGTCTATAGTCTAGTCTATAGTCTAGTCTATAGTCTAGTCTATAGTCTAGTCTATAGTCTAGTCTATAGTCTAGTCTATAGTCTAGTCTATAGTCTAGTCTATAGTCTAGTCTATAGTCTAGTCTATAGTCTAGTCTATAGTCTAGTCTATAGTCTAGTCTATAGTCTAGTCTATAGTCTAGTCTATAGTCTAGTCTATAGTCTAGTCTATAGTCTAGTCTATAGTCTAGTCTATAGTCTAGTCTATAGTCTAGTCTATAGTCTAGTCTATAGTCTAGTCTATAGTCTAGTCTATAGTCTAGTCTATAGTCTAGTCTATAGTCTAGTCTATAGTCTAGTCTATAGTCTAGTCTATAGTCTAGTCTATAGTCTAGTCTATAGTCTAGTCTATAGTCTAGTCTATAGGTCTAGTCTATAGTCTAGTCTATAGTCTAGTCTATAGTCTAGTCTATAGTCTAGTCTATAGTCTAGTCTATAGTCTAGTCTATAGTCTAGTCTATAGTCTAGTCTATAGTCTAGTCTATAGTCTAGTCTATAGTCTAGTCTATAGTCTAGTCTATAGTCTAGTCTATAGTCTAGTCTATAGTCTAGTCTATAGTCTAGTCTATAGTCTAGTCTATAGTCTGCAGTCTAGTCTCTAGTCTGTAGTCTAGTCTATAGTCTAGTATATAGTCTAGTATATAGTCTAATCTATAGTCTAGTATAGTCTAATCTATAGTCTATATAGTCTAGTCTATAGTCTAGTCTATAGTCTAGTCAAGGTCTAGTTATAGTCTAGTCTATAGTCTAGTCTATAGTCTAGTCTATAGTCTAGTCTATAGTCTAGTCTATAGTCTAGTCTATAGTCTAGTCTATTGTCTAGTCTATAGTCTAGTCTATAGTCTAGTCTATAGTCTAGTCTATATAGTCTAGTCTATAGTCTATATAGTCTAGTCTATAGTCTAGTCTATAGTCTAGTCTATAGTCTAGTCTATAGTCTAGTCTATAGTCTAGTCTATAGTCTAGTCTATAGTATAGTCTAGTCTATAGTCTAGTCTATAGTCTAGTCTATCTAGTCTAGTCTAGTATAGTCTAGTCTATAGTCTAGTCTATAGTCTAGTCTATAGTCTAGTCTATAGTCTAGTCTATAGTCTAGTCTATAGTCTAGTCTATAGTCTAGTCTATAGTCTAGTATATAGTGTAGTATATAGTCTAGTCTATAGTCTAGTCTATAGTCTAGTCTATAGTCTAGTCTATAGTCTAGTCTATAGTCTAGTCTATAGTTTAGTCTTTAGTCTAGTCTATAGTCTAGTCTATAGTCTAGTCTATAGTCTAGTCTATAGTCTAGTCTATAGTCTAGTCTATAGTCTAGTCTATAGTCTAGTCTATAGTCTAGTCTATAGTCTAGTCTATAGTCTAGTCTATAGTCTAGTCTATAGTCTAGTCTATAGTCTAGTCTATAGTCTAGTCTATAGTCTAGTCTATAGTTTAGTCTATAGTCTAGTCTATAATCTAGACTATAGTCTAGTCTATAGTCTTGTCTATAGTCTAGTCTATAGTCTAGTCTATAGTCTAGTCTATAGTCTAGTCTATAGTCTAGTCTATAGTCTAGTCTATAGTCTAGTCTATAGTCTAGTCTATAGTCTAGTCTATAGTGTAATACTAGCACTATTTCTAAGTTTAAGTTTCCCATCCCTGTTAACTGCTGCAAGTATGAGTACTACAGCAAAGCACTCATACACTAGTTTTCTCATTAAAGTTTTGTACTCTGCTACTCTTAATATTAAAGTGTTTCATTTTCCATAATCTAAAAAGGTATGAAACCGTTATAATTAAGTTGTTCATGATTTGTATTATAATAAAAACAGCAACAATAACAATTATGAAACAACAATAATAAAACTAACAAATCTAAAAAAAAAACAATAAAAACAACAAGTTATTAAAAAACAACTAAAGGCCATTGTTTTTCACACTCGCATAAAATATACTTATTATAAGAAACATACTCTGTTTGTTTTGTAAATCTTTTGCCCCACTGTAGAGGTTATATGGTTTAATGTTTATCATCATTAACAACCTCAATAAGTGCTACTTATAAGTTTTATTATTGTTTCTTTTTGATTTCACAAAACTTTTTTTCTTGTTTGGAATTTATTTAAAATAATACTTGAGAAATAAAAATAGTACTCTCAGTTCCATAAATAAAAATAGAATTCATTCATAAAATATTTTGGTAGTTTCCTTCTTAATTTTCAAAAATATTTTCGTACAAAAACAAAAACAACAACAATTTATAAGTGAAAGTTTTTGTTTTGAATAACGAAACGAAATTTTCAAGTATTTTTGTGTTTCTGTAATTGCTTAAACTAGCACAGATCAAGTGAAAAACCAGCAAATGAACAATGTTCGTGTTATTTGTGGTCAAAATGTGCCAAGCAATAGTAATTTGGGTCAAAACAACTACGAAAATCTGGTTAAAATTGTAATTTGTTTATAATAGCTTTGTTCGTTTACGCTGCGGGCAAAATGCAAACAAAGGAAATGGAGAAAAAAATGCAAAAAAAAAGAGATAATTATGCATAAATAAAAGGAAAAATATTTAAACAAAATTTTGTTATGAAATTAGTCATAAAATATTGTAATTTTTGGAAAATTTAACAAAATTAGTTTGAATTCTTAATTTAGAAAATAATTGCAAATATATTATGACCGCCACTTTGCTTTAAA